TGGTTAGCATTTACAATGAGGGAGGCATATAGTGTTGTCAGTGTTGATATCAACTCGTCACGCCGAACTGTTGGTCACAATGAGGGAGGCATATACTGTTGTCAGTGTTGAGGCCAGCTCGTCACGCCGAACTGTTGGTCACAATGAGGGAGGCACATAGTGTTGTCAGTGTTGAGTTCACTCGTCTCGCCAAACTGTTGGTCACAATGAGGGAGGCACATAGTGTTGTCAGTGTTGAGTTCAACTCGTCACGTCGAACTGTTGGTTACAATGAGGGAGGCATATAGTGTTGTCAGTGTTGAGGTCAACTCGTCACGCCGAACTGTTGGTTACAATGAGGGAGGCATATACTGTTGTCAGTGTTGAGGTCAGCTCGTCACGCCAAACTGTTGGTCACAATGAGGGAGGCACATAGTGTTGTCAGTGTTGAGGTCAACTCGTCTCGCCGAACTGTTGGTCACAATGAGGGAGGCACTATAGTGTTGTCAGTGTTGAGGTCAACTCGTCACGCCGAACTGTTGGTCACAATGAGGGAGGCCTATACTGTTGTCAGTGTTGAGGTCAACTCGTCACGCCGAACTGTTGGTTACAATGAGGGAGGCATATAGTGTTGTCAGTGTTGAGGCCAGCTCGTCACGTCGAACTGTTGGTTACAATGAGGGAGGCATATACTGTTGTCAGTGTTGAGGCCAGCTCGTCACGCCGAACTGTTGGTTACAATGAGGGAGGCACATAGTGTTGTCAGTGTTGAGGTCAACTCGTCACGTCGAACTGTTGGTTACAATGAGGGAGGCACATAGTGTTGTCAGTGTTGATATCAACTCGTCACGCCGAACTGTTGGTCACAATGAGGGAGGCCTATAGTGTTGTCAGTGTTGAGGTCAACTCGTCACGCCGAACTGTTGGTTACAATGAGGGAGGCATATACTGTTGTCAGTGTTGAGGCCAGCTCGTCACGCCGAACTGTTGGTTACAATGAGGGAGGCATATACTGTTGTCAGTGTTGAGGCCAGCTCGTCACGTCGAACTGTTGGTCACAATGAGGGAGGCATATACTGTTGTCAGTGTTGAGGCCAGCTCGTCACGCCGAACTGTTGGTTACAATGAAGGAGGCACATAGTGTTGTCAGTGTTGAGGTCAACTCGTCACGCCGAACTGTTGGTTACAATGAGGGAGGCACATAGTGTTGTCAGTGTTGAGGTCAACTCGTCACGTCGAACTGTTGGTCACAATGAGGGAGGCATATAGTGTTGTCAGTGTTGAGGTCAACTCGTCACGCCGAACTGTTGGTTACAATGAGGGAGGCATATAGTGTTGTCAGTGTTGAGGTCAACTCGTCACGTCGAACTGTTGGTCACAATGAGGGAGGCATATAGTGTTATCAGTGATGAGGTCAACTCGTCACGTCGAACTGTTGGTCACAATGAGGGAGGCATATACTGTTGTCAGTGTTGAGGTCAACTCGTCACGCCGAACTGTTGGTCACAATGAGGGAGGCATATACTGTTGTCAGTGTTGAGGCCAGCTCGTCACGTCGAACTGTTGGTCACAATGAGGGAGGCATATACTGTTGTCAGTGTTGAGGCCAGCTCGTCACGTCGAACTGTTGGTCACAATGAGGGAGGCATATACTGTTGTCAGTGTTGAGGCCAGCTTGTCACGTCGAACTGTTGATTCACAATGAGGGAGGCATATACTGTTGTCAGTGCCGGCAGTTTACTACAATGCATACCGACGGTAATGAGTTGCTACTTAAAAATGTGCATTAGAAATTCGCTCTTTCTCCAGTGGTTGAGGCACGAAGTAACCACACCCGGTCGAGCTTCTTAAAGTCACACTTATGATGTAATCCTTCCCACTGGGACTTGAACAATATTCAATCATAGTCGCGTGTATGTTCTGGGATTGTGTCTGTCCATGTCAGACATTGGCTTGCAATATGAAAAGAAGACGTGAAAAGACTGTTTGGTCCCATCGACCCCTCTTGGATATCAGCAAATGAGTCCATTAGGCTGGACTTACTGTCGTGGGGGCGACTGAATGCACAGACTGAACCCTGCACGATCTGTGGCCAACGTCTGTGACAGCAGAACTCATTTCCACTGTAAGCCAAAGGAGGCCACATAGGGACTAAGTTGGTCGTCTCATCGCGCAATTTAAGGTTTACGGTCTGAGGTAGGGACAGTGTCCTTCAACGCATCTCTCTTTCATCAGCTAGTATCTGTTGTTTGTAATTATCACCCTGGTTCATGTGGAACCGAGGCAATAGTGGTACTTACAAAAGGTTGGTAGTGGCGACTCACTGGGATACAAACGATCGGACAGGATGCTCGTGTTGCGTGGGAGTTCCTTACTTGGGGCTGGTGGCCTTGAGACTCCACGTCATCTTGATTGCGGGATATGTGTTAGGAGTTGAATTGAAGTTGTACGTCGCATTGTTTCAGCCTTATAGCGGCATATGTATCAGGAACTTGATATGAGAACATATACTACCACCGTAAACACTTCCAGATGAGCTCTTCGTCTCCCCGCCTTCGGTCGGCCATAACATGCATATGTTCGTCAGATCTCCATGGCGTACAGCATTAATCAACCCTTTCATAGTTGGTCACAACGTTTTCACGACACCAATGTTATTTTATTTCTGGGAGGCTGTTTGAGTGATTTAACAACTATCTTATACATTCATAAAATTTAAACGAGTGTGTAATTCTTATCCTCAATCAACATTTACCCATCAGCAGTCACCAGTCATCAATTGGAATGTGAGCATGACATTGCTTCCATATATGTTTGTCATGTCAGATATGTCCTGCCTTCTACCGAGAGCCGACCCAGTATCAGCTCTCTGCTCGTTTTAAATGTCTTCTGTATCCTCATTCCTCCTTATCTTCATCCTTCCCTTTTCAACCTGGCATTCTCTTTCCTCTTGCAAAGCCTAGCCTCAATGTTTCTCTACTTGTTTCATGCACCCGTTTATCTCATATGCGCCCCCTCCTCATCCCTGCAATCATCCTGTGCCGTGCACCCCCTCCAACTCGTGTCCCCGACCCTCCCCTCCTTGTGTCCCCTGACTTGTGCGTCCTACTATCACCCCTGTCACGTCCTCTTTCTTCACCACGGCGTCCACTTTCCTAAAACATTCCTGTCCCTTCATCACTTTTCTCCCAGGAAACCTATTTTCCCAATCATCCGTTGTCCTCTGCATCTCCACTTGCACCACTTGTTTCCAACAACGTCCCTGGGCTGCGTCTCATCTCCAATCAGACAGTTCGTAACCGACTGAGGGAAGCAGATATCCGAGCACGTCGACCAGTTAGATGACTGTTACGATGACATCACTTCTTCGTGCATGGTGGAGAACAGTTCTCTCCAGTGACGAGTCATGCTGCGCAGGGTTGGTGGAAGAGCCATGGTTTACAGGAGTCGCAATGAACGTTACGCTGCTAATTGTGTGCAACAGGCCGACCGTTTTGGAGGCAAAAGTGTGATGGTGTGGGCTGGCATCTCACACAGTGGCCGAGCAGAGCTAGTGCAAGTTGCAGGTACACGTGTACGATACAGGGATGAGCCCTTGCAACCCTACGTTGTCCCATTTCTTCACCGTCATGGAGGGAGTTTCCAGCATGACAATGCAAGACCGTTTATGGCTTACCCGATCGCCATATCTTTCACCTATTTAACATTTGTTGGATGTTCTTGACGGACGAGTACGACAACGTCATCCTTCTCCAGGAACACTCTAAGGACTGTGACAGGCTCTCCAACAGGAGTGGCAGAACATTCAACAACGCACATCTCATTTCTTCCATGGGGAGGCGGGGCCATGCAGAGATAAACGTTAATGCGGGGACATACCCGCTATAAAAAATATGACACCCCCAGTTGCTGTTAATTGTCTTTGATGTTTCATTTCGTGAACAAGGTATCATTCTTATTGGAGATACGATCAGTTGATAACCTAAGAGCATGTATTCGATGTTGTTTTTATAAATATTTGTTTTCCGAGTAAAATATATCTCCCTGAAATTTGATGTTAGGTTACTTTCTTTGAAAAATATATATCGCCCTGTCTCATGTGTCCTGTTTCCTCCACAGTATCCTTTCCGTATGCATCCCACTCTGGATATTCGTGTATGTGTAATGTATGGCACATTATATCTATGTCATTCCTAGATACTGGCGAATGTGTAATGTGGGGTACATTCTCTATGTCATTCCTGGATACTGGCGAATGTGTAATGCGGGCACATTCTCTATGTCATTCCTAGATACTGGCGAATGTGTGATGTGTAGTAGTAGTAGTAGTAGTAGCAGTAGTAGGTGGAGGAGGAGTTGTAGTAGTAGCAGGTCGAGGAGGAGTTGTAGTAGTAGCAGCAGTAGTAGTAGTAGTAGCAGCAGCAGTAGTAGTAGTAGCAGTAGTAGTAGGTGGAGGAGTTGTAGTAGTAGTAGTAGGTGGAGGAGTTGTAGTAGTAGCTGTAGTAGCAGTAGTAGTAGTTGTAGTTGTAGTAGTAGTAGTAGTAGCAGTAGTAGTAGTAGTAGTTGTAGTAGTAGTAGTAGTAGTATCGCAGTATTAGTAGGTGGAGGAGGAGTTGTAGTAGTAGCAGTAGTAGTAGAAGTAGCAGTGGTAGTAGTAGTAGTAGTAGGTGGAGGAGTTTGTAGTAGTAGCAATAGTAGTAGTAGTAGTAGCAGTGGTAGTAGTAGTAGTGGTAGTAGTAGTGAGTAGTAGCAGATAGGTAGGGAGGGAGTTTGTAGTGAGTAGTAGAGTGAAAACGATTATCAATGATGTCTGAAATGTAGGTCTTTGGTATATATACATCTCGTTTTCACGATCCAAATATGTTTTTACGCATGACTGCGAATTCACAAACTTGTCAGTGGAACATCTAAACGTTCAATGTTAGCCATTAGACGTCCCTGGTGTCCAATCACAGAAGTCAGTTCAGTTCAAAGGTAACGTTCAATGTGAGCCATTGCTGCATTCAAGAAAGTAGTTCAGAGATCACGTGTCGTCAACTCTATTGACCTCCTCTGCTATGTTCAGATGAACCTTTTCCGAATCTGCATCGTAAACCGCTTTTGTTTCCTTAGCGCAATTGTCATTGCCATTCCTGACTGGAGAACGATTGATAATAACTGATGGCTGTGTCTCAACGTTAGTGTACTGTGTATAGCTGTTCGAAGCACTGTTTTGACGTGAAGGGAAAAAGAGGCATGGTACTACCAGTTTGAACTCTTTCTTAAAGTTATCATTCATCCAGGCATACAGGAAAGGGTTATATATCGTTGAGCTCATTGCGATGACATGGGCAATGAAGAATATCAAAGTGAAATAGTACCACACAGCAATGGTCGTCTCATACTCTCGGACAAGATGGACAACATTCAAGGGCATCCAGCAACACACAAATATCGTAACCATGGCAATCAACATTCTGTTGGTACGCTTTTTTCTTTTAATCTCCAGTTCATCCCGCTCCCGCGTCCTTGACCCTGAGCCAATCTTGACCTTCGTTCTTTTCTTCAAGGCCAAGGACACCATGGTGTAGCAGAAGGTGATTATACTGCAAGGCACTATGTACTGTAAGACTAGACTGGTTACAGTGAAAAACTGCCGGGCTTGAACTCGCGGCCATTTCTCGGAGCATGCGTAGCTGTCCGTCTTATTGGTCACCTCAACCTCGTGGTATATTCCGAGCGGTAACGAAATGGACACGGAAATGATCCATATAGCGATAATCATCAAGAGACACATGTAGATCTTCATACGCGGTTTGAAGGGGTACACAATCACGAAATACCGGTCAACGGCAATGGCGGTGGAGGTCAGGGTCGAGACGTACACGCTGATGCAGAGGATCATGGGAACGATGTGACAGAGTCCCTCTCCAAACACCCAGGAATCCAGGAAATACGAGATGGGAGTGAAGGGTACTGCTAGGAGGGCGATCAAAATGTCTGACACGGCCAGGTTGGTGATGAAGATGTTTGTAATGGTTTGCATGGCCTTGTTTCTCAGCACGACGTACACCACGAGGGAGTTGCCGGTGATGCCCAGGAGGAAGATGATGCAGTACATGATGATGAAGAGGACCATCAACCACGTGAGACGCATGACCTGCTGGTTGTCCTCAGGGTCCATCAGGGGGTAGTAAGGGGAGACGCTCTCATAACGGGGGGCTTGTTGGGTGGTGCTGTCACCCCCCCAATTACTTGCCACGTATCCGCTGGATGACGTAATAAGAGACATGGTGGCTGTGACGTCACTTCCGCTCAAGATATGAGATCAGTTGGCAACACAGGTCAAGGACATACCTGAAACAATTGGAAATAATGAATGAAACAATGACAAAAGTGATAATTACCCATATATCTATAACGCTTATGAAAACATTAACTCGTACAACAAAAAGTAGTCCTAACATATCAACAATCGCATGGTCTCTAGCGGAAACTTTAGATTAAGGGAATTTGAGTAATAAGGGCAAACCGACAATTGAGTCTATACATGCTTCATGCCACATGCCTGAGTGACCTACTAAATGACAGACATCTTCATGGGGGGACCCGAAGCCAGTGACACTGACAACTGATGGCACAGAAGATTCAACACACTGGCATCGTATGTTGTTATATCGGTTTAATCGGTTTAAGACTTCCCTGTTAGGTATATTGCGTGGGAATGATGGCTATCACATGTCGTCACATCACTGTGATGCCGATCAACTCACTCACTCACTCACCCACCCGAACCACCCACCCATCCTCTCACTCACTCACTCAATCACTCAGTCACTCAGGTTGACAAGCGACAAACGGACATTAGACATTTCAACAAATATAAGTGAAAACATCTTGATGCTTAATTAACCACCAATGAGATTTTCCCCCATGAAAAGGAAACCAGTGGTAGTGTAAAACTGTGTTGTAGCGCGAGTAATGTGATGCCTTCCCAGAATACATATATCCTTTCCTGTTCCATGTGTATAGATACTGGTTGTGTAGGAGGCCGGACATAATTAACACCCACGCGCTTCTTGTATTTCTCAGATGAAATCTCCCACAACCACATGAAGAACAGCTAACATCATCTCGTGCCTGGACTTCAGGGGGCTACTATAAATACCGATCGACTCCTCTTATCATATGTTTGAAGAACTAGATTTTCTGTTGGTAAAGAATTATATCAACCAAATAAAAGTTGAATGCATGTTTAACGTGTCTGGTCACGTACATTTAAATTACACGTATATACGGGACGTGTCAGTGTTATGTGTTTGGTCACGTACATGCATATGGAACATATCAGTGTTCTGCCTATCACTATGAATCACTCTGATACGAATCAGTAATTCAGACCCGACACACGGGGAGACAGTAGTGGTCGATGTGTGTCACGTTTATACAAGACTCCATGTAAGTCTGTGTGTAACGCTTAGACAAAACACCATGCAAGTCTGAGTTTGAAAAGTCGACTCCAGGACATGTGAACTTCTTGGCATCAGTTTTTTCTTGGGCAAATGAAACTGACACAGCGATACGGAAGACGAAAATGACAGGTTCACTGGTTCAATACAATCTGAATTAATGCCGCAGTGACGTTCCAGCTTCCTTGTATCGGAGACAGTCATTCAATGTGACAAGCAGAACGAAATCCAATCAAAGCAGTATCTCATTATTGGAATAGGAAGAGTGACTCTGTCTTGCTGCCTGTAGCAGGGAGGCAGTAATTTGAGCAGCAGGTGCCACACTTTGGTTATCACTGTCACAACTTGATACTCATCCCAAGAATTCAAGGACATTTTGTGTGATGGGCCTTGGCGTCCAAAACACTCTACCGTCGTTAAGGGTATGTAAAATACAGACATAAACATACTCTATAACCTTGCTACCACGACCCGACAACTACACACGTGAAGTCAGCTAGCAGGGACTGTATAGTTCAAGACGTCGACGCAATACTTGCTTTCTCAACACACTATCGACTTATGTTCTCAGTATGCTAAGCTTGGAGTGCGACGATATGGCAGCGAGACAATGGTTTTCTGTGATACATTGGGCGCTTCACTCAATCGTTGTATTTATGCACAGTTTCTAAATGTTACTTCATAGGATGTAATTATGCCTGAAATGTCGATTATTTTGTGAATGATCTGTTGGATCAGGTGGCCCGGCTCTGGCACATGGCACATTGCATATCACTCAACCTGATGTTGTACATCGTTGATCATATCACTCTACCTGATGTGGTAGATAGTTGATCATATCACCCTACCTGATGTTGTAGATAGTTGATCATATCACTCTACCTGATGTTGTAGATAGTTAATCATATCACTCTACCTGATGTTGTAGATAGTTAATCATATCACTCTACCTGATGTTGTAGATAGTTAATCATATCACTCTACCAGATGTTGTAGATAGTTGATCATATCACTCTCTCTGATGTTGTAGATAGTTTATCATATCACTCTACCTGATGTTGTACATAGTTGATCATAATATCTATCGCAAGATTTTGGGACAGGCTGCGGTCACGAAGTTGAAGCTTTTAAGAACAACCTAGAGTTGTAAGTATGTTAATTGAGTGAACTTTGCTATTTAATGTTATCAAAAAGAACACACTGGAGCGTTCATCTAATACAGTTTTTTTCTGTAATTAGCGAAAACCCCAAACCCAAAGCCTTGGACATCAGGAGTGAAGTTTCCCGACAGACAGCTTCAAGTTACTGTACTTTGTTGTATGGCAGCGTACTGATTGTGTTCCCCGGCGAGTAACGCCTCTGTTACAAAATGTACTAAATACGCTGGCCGAACTTCGTCGGCTTGACCATTCAACTGCACTAGGGATTGTTTCTATAGCTACTTAAGACATAGTCACGTATTTAATTATCGCGTTGAGAGGGGTCAGTCGGCAAGTCATTAGACGAACACGTGGCTAGAATGACCACCTACTGTTGTGGTCCTCTTGAGTTGCGTGTCCGTCTTTGAAATGTAGATGAGCCCAGCTCAAGTGAAAGCATCCCCGACTGGCCGGCCTGCTACACAGGCAAATGATTCTTCAGACAAACGGCCAGATCGATGAACACAAACGTCAGGTGTTCGTAGTTAGTAATGACGAAATCAGGTGAGGATACAAATAGTTGTTTGGTTCAGTATTGGCCAACAGAAAGAAGAGTCACAATCAGACCACAGTCGTACCTTGTCATGTATAGTTAATGGTTGCGTCAAGTGCAGTGTGAATTATTAATGACCGGACTTAACCCGGGGAAGGAACTCCGTGCTGGAACCCTGACAGGTTGACAGCAGCTCATGTAGCACTTCTCATGCTGGGATATGATAACACAATTATCAACAGCTACAATGCAATATATGGTTCTCTCCGTTGGTATATATATCTTCAATTGTCAGTCAAGACTCGGTCAACACTCAACACCAGCCTCCAGACGTTAGGCGAACACGTAGACACACAATAAATTATTCTGTTCTAATACCGACTATAGAGACAGCTCGTCATGTATGTATGTATGTATGTATGTATGTATGTATGTATGTATGTATGTATGTATGTATGTATGTATGCATGTATGTATGTATGTATGTATGTATGTATGTGTGTGTGTGTGTGTGTGTGTGTGTGTGTGTGTGTGTGTGTGTATGTGTATGTGTGTGTGTGTGTGTGTGTGTGCGTACGTACGTACGAACGAACGAACGAACGTACGTACGTACGTACGTACGTACGTACGTATGTATGTATGTATGTATGTATGTATGTACCTCACACATAAATGTCGTTCTCTGCAGCTGATTGGCTAAGCGCTCTTCTATTTCCTGTTAGTAATTCTTTATCTCGAATAACTGAGTCATATGATGTGCAAAAAATACCGATGTTTTAGCAAAACCATGGAAGGAAGATAATGCCAAATTTGTTTTTCTTGTCGTCGGTCTTGGCTAATTGCATAACTCTGGTACGCCTTATTATGATCCGATACCCACGCTTCAAAATTAACATTGAGGTGTTTGGTAAGATAAATACTCTGTTCACTGGTCCCTCGAGGCCCATGGGTTGATGTGCCCTCTGTGTTTGTTTATGTTAAGTGACCAGTTAACAGCTTCAAACATTTACTTCGACCATCTGTCATCAGCCATCGTAATGCAAGCATCAGTGCCATCTGCATCTCCTTGACAACAGGGTCTTCATCCGGCTACACGTCAACTATGACTTCACTACTGCGCCATGTTTATATGTGTATGAGGAACTGGAGGTAGCCAGGTCCAGCGTTTGACAGTGAACATCTTCATCAGCAGGGTAATGAGGTTACATCTGTGTCCTCACCTTGATCAGGAACCACTTTACAACCAGCGCCACCTGCCGGGCATCTCACCACGCGATGTCTGCACGTGTGTATCTCACAGTGGCGCTTTAGCCCGGGGAGTTAGTCTAACTCTAGACGTGGTGTTCTGACCTCATTACTCAGACTACGTAACTCGGACTGACTGATGAACGACAACAAACAAGCATAAACAGGGACGTTGTCAGACGTCCAACCATTGGATTATATTCCTGGTCGATATGGAAGATTAGAATGGAAGAAAGTTACAGTCAAACACAAGTGATTATGTTGTGTTGTTACTGTTGCAAATGGATGTGTAGGAACACCCGTGACGTTGTAATCATAGTTTAATGCAGAGAACAACACTAGAAAAAACAAACACGTATAGTTATGAATAAATTCGTGCATTTAGATTGAATAAATGCTAATTACATAGTCCCAGAGTTAGCCAGCCAGAAACACACAGAGAATGTAGCGGTCCATGTTATATGTTGTTATCTGTGCATAATGCCTACTGTATGGGGCTCACCAGATGTACAAGATGGAGTGTTTGTTGGTGAGTCGCGGAATAGTCCATGTTATATGGTGTTATCTGTGCACCATCATGCCTACTGTATGGGGCTCACCAGATGTACAAGATGGAGTGTTTGTTGGTGAGTCGCGGAATAGTCCATGTTATATGGTGTTATCTGTGCACCATGCCTACTGTATGGGGCTCACCAGATGTACAAGATGGAGTGTTTGTTGTTGAGTTGTTAACGCCACTTTCAGCAATATTCCCGCTGTATAGCGACTGTCTAACTGCTGGAGCCTGGACCAAGCAGTCCAGCGTCACCGTGAGCAACTGAGACACACACTCGCGTACACACCTTACATACACAACTGGTAGAAATGTGTAGAATGACAAATATGCAGTGACGATTTAGCTGTCTAAAATCATACAGTTCCATTTCAAACTTGTTTCATGACTTCCTGGAC